TAATTACTATCACTTACTGATGTGATGCTGCATTCAAGTCACTTGAACCTTATTCACTGACTTTCTCCATAATACGTAGATCAGAAGAAGCAACACCATTACCAATTTCTCCACCTCAGGCAGACATATCACAGGAAGACAGATACCTGCTAGCAGGCAGCTGATGGCTACCTCATTATCTCTCTCTCACCCTGGTTATTTGTGTAGCTCAGTCCAGATACAGTGTGTTTTAATTTATTTTTAATTCATGTCCAAATCCCCCTTGCATATTACTGAGAGCATTTCTTGGTGCTTGTAGAAATGTGCTGAAAGTGGATCATACAACAGCATTCAGACTTACTCCAATACACTTACAGATTGGTTGGTTGATGCTCTTTCTCCCATCCGTTGTAGCAGATGTCTTAGTTTACCCAAGTACTCGAGAGAATTTTTAACAGTATCTCAATACATCCATCTGGCCACAGGCACAACATCTATCACATGATGCCTGACGTGATCTTTGCCATTTAGCAGCATGCTTCCTCTGCAATGATTTCATGCTTCACTATTTTTAATCTCATATTAGATTAATGCCAGATTAATAAAAAGGTAATCCTAATCCAGGATTTCTCTTCTCAAACCTTACCTTTCACAGGTGTGTTGCTGATAAAATAGTGAAGAATCACAGAAAATGACCTGCCAAGCTATCAGGAGGATTTACTTTGGTTTCCCATGTGATCAAAAAAACCCCACAAACCCATCGGGTACATAGCATGATAGGAGAATACCTATCTTCCACCTTTAAAACTGCAGAAGTACTGATCACTCATAAATGGAATAGTGGATGGATTTCCTTTACTGATACATTCCAGGCTACTGAGGGAACTTAAGAAAAATAAATATTAGGATTTTAGAAAAAGAAAAATGTATAAGTAATTTATACTTGAATCAGGTCAAAAAAACCAGGTCAGTTCAGATTTAGTATAAAAATAAATAATGGGAGGGTTCTGCTAACCTAGCAGACTCTTTTCTTAACTGAAGACTCTTGCCTTATGTTAAATAACCTAGAAGACAAGGCAGCAACCAAAGAAGGGAAAAGCAATTTAAAGGCCTCATTACACATTAATTTTAGGTGGCTCCTGGAGCTCTTTACCCCTGGATTATCTGCACATTAACACCTGAAACTAGTTTTAAGCACATTTTAGGCAGCTTAAAGTTATATACCTCCAGGGAAGGTTTACCTCTGATCTGTGTTAGGGTCTTGTTACACATTGCACTTCGAGCTGCTCAAATGTTGAACGGTGTTGGTGCTAGCTCAAGTTGGGAGTAGTCATGCCTTGAGGCTAAAAACCCTCCCTGACTGTCCACCTGCACAGCTATGACTTCCTAGTTAGATGGCTGGTAAGCAGGGCCTGACTAGAGGCTGGAGCTGGGTTGCCACTACAAGGCTGGTAAGACAGGACAGGCTTCTGTCCCTGCTGTAGGTGGTGGGGTGTGAGAGATGGTTTGGGGGAACATGAAGCTAGGAGACAGAGTTAATAGGATGGGGGTGGGTAATGAAATGTGAGGTGAAAAGGAAACAGGGATGAGGGAAGGATGGTGAAATGAAGAAATTCAGCTACTGAAGGATAAGATAAGAAGAAGTTAAAAAAATTGGAGGAAGCAGGTGTACAACCCAAGTTGCAGTCCTCCAGCATCCCAGGATGCAGTGTTCCATCCTTCACCCTCCTGTTCTCTGTGGACAAGCTTTCCACCCCCTAAACTCCATTGCCCAGGAGGCAGTCCTGGCACCAAAACAGCTCCCTGTCCCACCCTTGGGAGTATAACCTTCCTACTCTCAAGGCTGCAACCCCATACAAACAGCCAGCAGAGCACATGCCAGATAGATCCAGAAATGGGATCTAGGTAGGGTAACCATATGGGACAAGCAGAAATTCAGGAAACTGCTCCTGTAGGGAGTCAATGGCCATTAATGACCCATTGTTCCTTACTTCACAGGTGTTATCACCTGTGAAGTAACAATTAATGTTAATAGGAAGCCCTAGCAGACAGCAAAATTGTCTATTTCTTAAGTACTGTGGGGATGCTCATTGTAATTTTCACAGGCCAGCTAGAACTGGCCTCTCAAATCTGGGACTCTCTTGACCAATTCAGGATGTATGGTCAGCCTAGATCTAGGGGTGGGGGGTGACAAGGTAGGGGCTGAATCAGATCCCCTATGATCTCAGGGTTCCTTCCCAGGACAGGGACAGTAGCTTCCCCAAAAGAGCCTTCCTTCACTGCTCCCACCTCCTAGCCACCCCAGGAAGCATAATGGGCACCCCCAAATCCCAATTTATTAAACAAGACCTTCTTCTTTAATTTACTTCTTTATTTCTTCTTAAATTTTTTTTTTTTTACTACTTATTTTATCCTTCAGTGGCTGATTTCCTCCATTTTACCACCCCCATTTCCTTTCCACCACCCATTTCATTACCCACCTCCATCTCATTAACTCTCCACCTCCCAGCTTCATGTTCCTGACCCATCCCCCTCAACCCATCTCTCACACCCCACCACCTAGAGCAAGGATAGAGGCCTGTTCTGGCTTACCTGCCTTGTAGTGGCAACTCGACTCTAGCTCTTAGTCAGGCCCCTGCTCATCAGACCTCTAGTAGCAAGTCACAGATGTGCAGGTGAGTGATAGTCAGGGAAGGCTTTTAGCCTTAAGGTGGGACTACTCCAAACTTAAGATAGCACTAACACTGCTCAACATTTGAGCAGCTCAAAGTGCAACATGAAACAAGGCTCTTAAAATCTCACACACCTTTGCTTCCTATACATAATAGACAATATATAAAACCATGGGTGTATTACATGTTCACATGCTGTATGGGCTGAATGATCTGTTTTCTTGTGGGGGGCTTATGATTTGAGGAGATTTGGTCTTTGCTCACCTGTAAAACGGGCTGATTTTCAGCCAGCCAATAACCTTGAAGCTATTTTTCTGGCTCACAATGAGCTGTAGACATAGACAGCTTTACAGATCAACCGATTTGCACCTAACCAAGTATCATTTGACAGCAGCTGCAATTGACTGAGAACACGCACGCAAAAAAACAAGACAAAAAACATCCACAAAAACTAAGTATCACTTAAAGTAAGATCAGAAGTTAATGAAACCTGGGCAAAAGGCCATCTTCACTAAGGAACCTACTTTCCTCAGTATCACCCATGATCACAAGTGTCTACATATACACTGCATCCCTTCCAGTAGAATGCTCTGTCTTAAGCAACTAGATTTTGTCATCAGAAGCAACCACTCCTAGGGTAGGGTTTTACTACATATGCAATGTTCACTGCAAAGTATGTAGTTAGCAGACTAACGCTGATCACAGAAAAGGAAAAAAAATCCATTCTAGTAGAAAAATAATTTAATAAAGGGATAAATTTCAAGAAAATATTTATATAGTAACAACATTTTAAGCAAAAATCCACAAAAATATACATGTCTAATGTGATCATACATATGATTTTTTTTCTGACATGCCTGTCTTAGTTTAGCTCAGTCTGTATAAAGTTTGATTTATGAGGAGTCTTCACTGCTATCAGACTTCGCACAACAGAGTCAACCAAAAAGGTTTTCTATCCATTTCAGGTCCATACAAGTAAAATTTGTTGTGGTAACTGTCCATAAATAGACTAGGGTACGTTGGACCATTAAAATAAAGGAATCAGTATAGGATTGGGGGAACCCATCTAATTAAGATCAGCAATAAACAATGAATCTATGATATGCATCACACTTTACACAGTGACATGGCGAATAAAGGAAGAGGATGAAGGGAAATATGCAATAGTATTGACATGAATTTGAAACTGCAAGATTGTTAAAATGGAGTAGGATCTAGAGGCCAGTAAAATGCACACAAGAGACAAGCATGTTCCTGTAGAACAGGCAATACAACATAGGAGATAAGCTAATTGCAGAGGACAGGGGCCAGGGAAAAATCATTGAAAGGACTGCAGTTTTCCAAATGAGTACTTTACTACCAAGCTGAAAAGACATTAGGTCCTCACTGATGGTTTAGTTCAGTCAGACTGCTTAGAATTTGATGGAGTCAGATAAGATAAAAAATGGTTGAAGAGAGCGAAGAACAAAAGAGGGAAAAATAAATAAAGTACATACCACCAGTAGAAGTTAGGAAGAGAACACTTAAAAGAAGAAAAGATAAAGTTAGGGATACCTGTTTTATCCAAATAAAACTGCAAAAGCAAACAACCCATCCCACAGAAAGCAAACAGAAAATTATTAAAGAAATAAAAAGGACACACGTTTTCCAAAAGAATTTTCATTTTTATAATCAAATTTTTTTTTTTTTTTTACATAGACAACTGAAACACACCAATATCTTGTGCGAAAAAATATCTTAAATAAACTTTGCTTGTTCTTGATTTTTGTACATTCTGATATACATATGTAACAAGGTTTATGGCACTGGAACCAGAATCAAATCATAAAAAGGAAAAAAAAATGCTTTCATTTATTCCTTCTGAACAAGCTGGCCACTGTTGCACTATTAGACTTTAAAAATTATTTCTCGTCTATTATTATTATTATTATTATTATTGGGCAGCCAGCTCTAATTGTTTTGCACACTCAAAATAAACCCCAACTTATTATTGCACAAGAAGCCAGTGAAGGCATATGGCATAGAATGGTCAAAGTCCCTTGCTGTTAAAACCCCTTGCACCCAAAAATAGAAAAATAGAACCGGAACATGAAACACGCCAAATAAAAGATTTTTTTCCTTTAGTTTCTGCCAGGAGCGTGAAAAGTGGCTTGCAGACTTTTAAAGCTGCTTTGATCTCGTTTCCACCAGTGAGCATTTTGTTTTGTGATCATTAGCAAACCCTTTGCAGAATCAAGGCCCACATTTCACTGACAGTCTTTTCTGCTTTGTTTTGGCTGTTTGTATTTTGTCTTAAATGTAGCTTTCTTCAGTCTATGAACCTGCACAGACTACTTAGCCATAAACTCTACAAGTAGCTGAAAAAAGGAAGGGGGGGAAAAAGCCCAGGGTTTTGTTTTTTCCTGTTGTATTGATTTAAAAATTGTTTTGTTGTGAAGCCTCCCTGCTATGTCAGTTTCTGGGAAGGGAATCTCATTGGCATTCCATCCTGTGTAGTGAAGTTCTTGGACTTGTTTAAAAACCTTTCTTTACAAAAATGGTTTTTATTCACAAAGTTTGCAACCCCCAAAAAAAAAAAAAAAAGGAACCCAGAAGCTAAAAAGAAAAAACCCAACCCACTCCCCCAACTCCCAAATCAAGTGAAGAATACGATAATCTCTTTATTAAATGCCTCTTCTTAGCTTCACTGTCACACTACAGTCTCTACCCCAATCAACTTTGGTGTAAGAATTCGTGGTGTAACTCCATTATTTAGATCTTCCTCAAATTCCAGTAGCTGCCCCATAAAGTTAAGGTTGGGAGAAATGATTGGTCGTTTGCCTTTGACAAATTTATAGGCATCTGTCATGGTCATCCGTGTGTGCTTCATTAAGTACGCTATGACTATGGTGGCAGAGCGGGACACGCCGGCTTGGCAATGAATGAGGAGGCCTTTTCCACACTGGTGAGCTTCCTCTGGAAACAGAAACAGAAAGACAGAAGTAACATGTGTTTGCTAGAAAGGTGGTTCCATCGGGGGGGGGTTATTTTATTTCGCTTTTTAAATTAAAGAAAAAAGTCTTAATGCAACGTAAAATAAACTGAAAAAGATTTATCAGTGAAAATCTAATTTCTCAGCTACAAAAGCCAGAGATTTAAAATAATAACAGAATGTAAACTGGAGTAAAAATGATACCATACCACACCATACTTTCTGAATTTCATTTTGGCCAGCCAGAGTTTCATATTTACTTAAGTCTATGTCTTATCAAATTTACGCTTCCAGAGGCACAAGGTTGCAATGGTTATATCGTGGGAGCTTCAAGGGAATAGTCATTTAGGAAATAGCCTGGTCTTTGGTCAAGGCCCAAAAGTGGGAAGTAACAGATCTGTTGTTCAATTTGTATCTCTGGCACAACTGGCTAGGCCCAGAGGTTAAACTTCTAGTCTAAACTTCGAGTGGCTACTGTCATTCACGAGAGGGAGTTGCAAGACATTCATTATTAACTGTTATATGTTTAACAATAGTATTCTGGGAAAGATTTCTACCAATTCACATTTTAAATGAATTTTAACTAAAGATGTGCTTTGCAATCTCTCTAAAAAAGCAGCTTTATGTCCATTAGGCATAAGGGGAAGTTTTAGATAAGGTAAATAACTCATTTGTGACTCAAAAAGTCTGGCCAAGGCAGTGAAAGAACATAGAAATTCTGGCTCCTTGCTCTTTGCTACAGGACAGCTGTTTCAACTTCTCCAGTGCCCAGCCATATTTTTAATCACTTACAGCAGTAGTTAGAAATTATTTGCTCTAAGCAACTATATCCGGTTTGAGCACAATACAAAACACTAGCCAATATGCCTTCTCAATAAAGTGTTTTACGAAGGAAAAAATATCAGTGATAAAGAAACTTTGACTCTTAATGTTAAGCAGAATAGCAAAGCACGCAGAATTTGGAGCGAGGCCAGTTCCAGAAACTACCTCAATGTGCCACACTACCATACAATCCATACATGAACATTTTTGAAAGACAGAGCACCAAAGAAAAAAAGAAACTGGACTCCAGCACATCACTGCCCTTCCGGCATGAGGCATTCAAGTTTCCTTCTGCCCTTGGATTAAGTTATAAACCTCAGAGGTCATATGGATGATGAAGACAGAACTTTTCCCCCTCAAGAATGTGACTGCATATAAACACTTCCGATATAGATTTTGCATACTATCTTGACCCAGCTTCTCTTCTAATTCAAAGGGATAAAAACAAAGCTTTCTTCTTCTCTCATGCTCAAATGAGTGAGGGGAGTACCTCCCCTCACTCTTGCCAAAGAAGCCAACTTAGCTTTCCCACTCATACTGTAATCAAATCTCAGAGAAGCTAATTTAGTGAAGAAGAGCACAAGACAGTAATTTGTCATGTATGACCAGTTCTGGCTTATTGCTGTGCTGTGCAGCCATGTACACAGAGACAGCTATGTTTCAGTATCCTCACTACACTACTTTTATGACTGGTCCACCTGAGCTTCAGCTAGTAAAACGGGAAAAAGACTTGGCAAATTAGCCTATTGAATGCATAACCCACTATTGTTTGGTGAAGGGGAGGGAAGGGGTAGTGATCCTGAGCATCTATGGGAAAAGCTGTTAGAGAAGCTTTTACTAAAAGAATTCCATCACAGCTAATTACATTCCACCTATTTATTTATATTGCTTATAATGATGTAACCATTCTTTGAGCCTTTTGATGCAGCTACACTTTCATCTTAATTAAAGCAGTACAGTTGGAATACATAGAGTTGATGAGAAATTCTCCACTAGCATTAGTATTGCCACGACGCAAGGCATATTTAAGTGGTTTCAGTGGAATACATCCTGACACTGGATACCATCACTGTGCCAACAATGGCAGAGCCCCAGTAAAGCCAATGTGAGAATGAATGTCAGAGGTGCTGAACACCCAAACACCAATACAGATAATGTAAATGGTAGGTGTCTGGCACTTCTGAGAAGCAGGTCTTAGTGCAGGGGGGCACCTTAGCCAATCTAATTGCTCCTACTGAAGTTAGTCCAAGTGATCGGTACCAAGATCAGCCTAGCCACACAAAAAAGCCATAGTGGTACTGTGCTACCCTGTATATTTCACTCAGACTTCTGGGGGTATAACCCATGGTTCCTTGTGCTGTAATAAGCTAATATGCTCTGTGATTCTTGTCCAGGAAATTGTGGGAGAGCGTGTCTGTCCTTTAGGGCACTGTAAAAAGAACTGTGAGACTCACTACTCAAGTGATTTAGCCTGTGTCCCTACTGTAAAGTAGTCTAAGTGAAAGTCTAAGTGAAAGCGGCAACTGGGCTCTGACATATCTCTAAACTATGCCAGCTATCCTGAGCTGAAAGCTCTGCTAAACTTCAAGGTTTGTGTGTGGGCAAGGAGAGACATTATGACTTGGAGCCTACTTAAATTGCAGTGAGATCAAGGGTTTTTTGTGGCCTGCTTGCAGTGTACAGACCTGATTTCATGGGTTTTGTGGCAGCCCCACCCCTCACTGATGATTGGCAGAGGGGCCCTGATGGCCCCACCCCTCACCAATGACTGGTGCTGAAAAACTTTCACTTTCTAGACTGGCACCTTCACTTATTCTGTGTTACTAGCTCAGCCTCTCAGTAGCTCTCACTCAAATGATGTGCTTTATGGCTGCAGTGATTGCCGTGCTCTCTTTGTATTCTGGTATGCATTTTTTAGGTCAATTCCATGGGAAATCACAGCCAATGCTGTTTTTCAAAGTGATCATAGAAACTGCCATTTTTGTTGGCTTTGCAAAAACCACAAAACCACTATTTAAGTAGGTCCCTAATTATGGCAACGTCTGGGTAAAAAATCTGAGCTAACACTGAAGTGAAGATATACCCAAACAGGTGCTTCATTCCCAAGTCAGAGGTGCCTGCATTTCAGTGGTGAGTAATATACAAGTATATATAACTAAGAAGGACTTTGTACCATAGTACTAGAGTCAGTGGAAGCTACAACCTCTCAGCATTTCTGACAACCAAAAAAAGTTTAGCAGGCTTTAATGAGCCTTCTGGGACATTAGCTCTGCACTAAATTCATTGAAGATGTTTAAACAAGTATAACAAGGATAATCATCAGACAAAAATTGGTTACCTATGAATTCAAAAGCCTCTTCAAAGTACTGCCTTAGATTCTGCTTGTTGCTGTCAGTGGCTGGCAGCCGCTTGTAGTTGAACATGCCTTTCTCATAATGATAGAGGGGGAGATGGGTGGTAACATTGATTATGTATCCTATGTTCATCCTCTGCATCTTTTCCAAGTCCTGAGCATCATGCTCATTGCCAAGGAAGAGGAAGGGTAAGATGGGGGTCAGCTCAGCATTCTCTATGTCTGGGGTGGTAGGGATGGACTGAGGTAGTGTGGCTGCCACTGCTGATGCTCCTCCTCCTTCTGGGCATTCTTGAAGTTGGAGGGAGTTATCACAGAGGTTTTCATGGTTCTGTTTAAAACTGCTGAGTCCACCTGGTAAGAAGAGAGAGAGAGAGATTGAGTAGAGGTTTCAGTTGGGGGCTCCGAAGAACTTATTACTTGCAGATCTTTGCATAGATTTGTTCAACATTATGCTACAATTGAGGCTAGATCTCATCAAAGCAAGCTTTTATGGCAGAGTGGTAGAGGTGCACAAGTCCCCTCATTACTAGCACATCCCTTGTTGCAACACCAAATGCAGTTGTACTTTTGCTAGCAGCTATTGCAATTCATGCACCGATTTTTCCTGGCATAGACAAGGCCAGCACTGACAGAAGCATGCAAATTGCTACATGTGCTCCTACAACATCAGTACACCATCACTATGA